TCTGAGGGACCCAAGCTGTGTTCTGGGAAGATCGCAGGACTGAACTGACGAGCCCAAGAGGTTGAGAGAGATGGACTTGGGGACCCTCTTGGGAATGTCCAATAGGGTTGGGAGACAGAGGGTTGGAAGTGAGGGGAAAGCTGTGGGCTATGGGCATAGACTGGGGAGATGTAGGGAATTGTGGCAGTTACTGTCCTTGGGCACTCAGCCTAATTTCCTTCCTCTGAAAAAAAAGTGCCTCCTGCCAACCTGATCAGGTGAAGTCTCCCTTCTTCTGGACTCTGAGATCTCAGCAGCAGCAGAGTTGAGGCTGGGGGAAAGCCATCTCTGCATCCCATATCAACCAACACCACTAGTCACCTCTTGTCCCTGTCCCCTGCCTCTCTCCCTCCCTCCCTTTCCTTTTTTAAAAAATATTTTTATTATTTTTATTTTATGTGTATGAGTGTATTGTCTGCATGTATGTAAGTGCACCTGTGTCATGCAATGTCTGCAGAGGTCAGAAGAGGGCATCAGATTCCCCTGGAACTGGAGTTACAGATGGTTGTTAGCTGCCATGTGGGTTCTGGGAATCAAAGGTGCCCTTTGCAGGAACAATTAGTGCTCTTAACTACTGAGCCATCTCTCCAGCCCTTTCTTTTCTTTCTTTCTTTCTTTCTTTCTTTCTTTCTTTCTTTCTTTCCTTCCTTCCTCCTCTTCTTCCTCCCTCTTCCCCTCTCTTTCTTTTTCTTTCTTTCTCTTTCCTTCCTTCCCTCCCTCCCTTCTCTCTCTCTCTTTATCTCTTTCTTTCTTCCTTTCTTTCTTCTTTCATCTTTCTATTCTTCTGACAGGGTTTATCATAGGCCAGGCTGAGACTGACCAAGGCTCACCATGTAGTCAGGCTGATCTAGAACTATTGATCCTCTCTGCTTCTACTTCCTAAGTGCTGGGACTATAGGAGTGTGCCATCATACTTGCTCTTGTCCTTCTTACCCTCAATGAAATGTAACATCCCTTCTTACCCAGTAGTCCATGGCTTCCCTACGTCCTGGAGTCTGGCCTCCTTGACTCTGTCCTAGTTGTTACTTCTGGGCCATCGTCCTTGTTTTGCTGTTCTTTGGCTGCATTCTGAGCCCTTTCAAGGGCTTCCTGCAGCTGCCCTGACTTGCAGGCTCCTTACCACAAGAACTAAAGCAACTCCTTTCTGAGCAGGGCCAGTAGCTAGGGCATTCTAGAGATGCATGGACTCACTGGGTCCATGTGACTTGGGCAACTCTGGGGACACTTCCATCTTTTCACAGCCACACTCTGGCTCTGATTTTTCTAGCTTTCTCCTCTGGCAGTCTCACATTCTCTCCTGTCACACAGACAGTGTTTTCCCACTTCCAGAATGGTTCCATTGCCAGAGTGTGGGGTCTGAGCTCCTGGGTTCCCACTCATCCTGCTCAGGTACTTACTTTTCTCTGCAAGACCCAGGTGACATCCACCCAGGCACTGTGGTCCCTTGGCGAGCTTGGGGACTCCTTCCGGGTAAACTGGCTTTCCTGGGGAGCCCTCTGGAGACTGGTGTTCTCTCCATACTCTCCTTCCCTGATTGCTGTATGTGTGGGTGGGCTGTGGCGGGGGAGGCAGGACCAGTCTCCCTCTCTCTGCCTTCTGGCTCCTGTACAGCCCTGCTGGTTAGACAGGTAGCCCTGCCTTCTTCACTTTCCTTCATCCTTGCTGTGGACCCCATTCCTGTAGGGCCCCTCAAACCTACTGAGCAGGGACAGAGGTGGGGTAGGCCTACCTGTGCACGTGCTGCAGGGTCCTTCTTGATCCATTTGATGACTGTCTCATAGACCAGCTCCTCAGCCTTGGTATTGAGGCTGTCATTGGAGACATAGGCGATGAAGTCGTCCTTAGAGATGCTGAGGATCTCCTCCTGGGCTGCGACCTCAGGGAAGATCTGTAGCGCAAAGGCCTTGGCCATGTGGTAGAGCTCGCTGCACTGCATGGCTTCAGCCATGGCCAGCACGCCCAGGCAGTTGCTGGCGGTCAGCTGCTTCTCTGAGGATGAAAGTGCACAGCCACTGACCTAAGGGCCTTGCAAGGGTCATCTCTTGCTCCCACCACCATCCCTGGATCTTCCTCTGAACTCAACCCGTGTTCTTGTGACTGTCTCTAGTATCCATAGTCCCAATAAGCACACTTCCCGTGACCCTGAGTCTTAGATCTATTCCCAGGTTTTCCTCTGCCCTGGCTCATGTGGACTTCTCAGGGCCTCTCTCTATGCCTGAAGGTCATGGCAGAAAAATCAAGGCTGTGAGGGATGACGTGAGCTTCTTTATTGCCAGAGGAGGGAGGGCTGAGGCTTCAGGGCCTGGGCCTAGGCTGGGAGCAGAAGCCACATTGAGACTTCTGGTGTCTTCCACCATCATGATAGGCATGCCTGATGTCACAGACACCTTCCTTAAGTCACGTCAACAGTAGCAGCCTTCACATATCAACCCATTGTCTTCCCCAGTCAACCATCTGGACCCTGTGGTCTGTCTGGCCAGCTTTCCTGAGATCTCGCTAGTGGCTCTTCAAGGCTAGAACAGGATACAAGCTTCACTCTGTCCCTCTGCCTCCTGACCCTCTTGGATGGTTTAGTCCCACAGCTGCCCCCACCTGATCTGCTCTCAACCTCTAGCCTTTTCTTTCTGTACACCATACCCCAAGCTACAAGTTCTTTGTGACACTTTCCTTGTCCCCTACTCCACAACAACAAAGCTGCAAAGTGAGCAGGCTCTGGGCAGGGGGTCCAGAAGTGAGCCCAGCACTCAGATCCCAAAGCAGCTCTGGGCTTCTAAGGGTCAGTTCAGAGTCTGAGACCTATTTATGCATGTGAATAGCCTGGGTATTCTTATGTTAAAAGGGAAACAAAGTGTGGGCAGCTTCTTTCCAGGCTTAGGGTCCCCATGCAAAGGCTTTTTACACAGCTCCTCTGTCAGTGGTGCTGGCAAGCCCTCAAGGCCATAGTGACCCATTCAGTGCATACCTTTCCATCAAGCCACCCAAATGCTCATGTAGAATCTAGTTATCCTGGAGAGATCAGGGGACATGCAGTCCTTCTCTCTCAATTCTTGCTGGCTGGGAATTTTTCACACATCTGCACCATTTCCCCCAACCAACATAAAGGCCCACTGATTGGCTCACCGAGAAAGGACACACAGACTTTGCAGAAGGTGTGGAACTGGAACTTGCTGGCTGCCTCCAGCAGAGTCTTGGCATTGGCCGAGTCGATGACCAGCGAGCCGGTATAGACGAACTCCAGCAGTAGCTCTAGCACGTCAGCCTGCAGGTTGGACAGCACCAGCTCCAGCTTCTCTCGGCCGCTCTGGCTGCCATCCTGCACAGACCTAGGCACAGAGACCAGGGTGACCTCATCTGCTGCCCCCGCAGTCACTGCCGCTTCCTTACAGGGCCAGATCTCCCTGTACATCTCATTCACGCCCTTCGTTTTAGGACTTAAAAGGACACAGCAATGACACACCTGAACCTAATGACCTGACACAGGATCTGAAAGAGAAGAGTCTGACCAGAGGCGCCCAAAAGAACAGAAAACCCTGCTTATTACTACTCGGCATGTCCATGCAAAAAAAGATGCAAATCAAAAAGCATGAGCTGTGGATGGGGACGAGGACCAGGACTGGCCTCAAAGGGAAACAATACGGTTCAGCCCCCTGCTGGCCCTGTCGTCTGCAACAAAGGAGACCAGCACGTCCAGGCAAGCAGGACCCACTGCCTCACATAGCAGTCTCCTATGGGCTGAGGTTCGAAGGCTCCTGATTAGCTGCTATCCTAGCTAATCAGGAGCCATCCTTTGAGCGCTTCTTGAAGACCCAGGGCATCCAGAGGCTGCCCAGAAGTCCCTCCAACCCCAAGCTTTCCAAAAAACATATTGTTTCCTTTTAGGCATGGAAGGGAAGCCAAGCCCTTCATGACATTGCTTTGAAACTGAAGACGAGACGAGATAGACGACAGAATGGTTAGAGCTGGGAGGGGGAGAGGGGAACAACCAAGGACTTCCGCCACAGACAGCCAGCAGCCATGATCTGGGGCCTGGCCCGGGGCAGGGGGGCCCTCCTGCCACATGGAACACGGGGTCAGAGGTCAGAGTGGCCTGCGTGTAGAGTGTGCATCGGGCTTGTGAACTGGGGGAGGGGGAGCAGGGGAGGGACACAAATATATCAGTATGTTTATATCTGGTGTCTACAGAAATACAAAACCATTGCAAAGGCTCCTAAGGCCTGGCAGCCGCTCCCTACAGCTGGACCTGGAAGGAAACAGATAAGATGAAGCGAGAACAACACCGATACAGAAGTGAGGCCGGGAGAAAAAACACCCAGAGCGTTAAGTCAGGAGGCAAGTTTCTCAGAAGCCATCTGCTTGGCCACCCCAGCCTGGTAATTTCCACCAGGCTAGCTTCACTCACTAAACTTGGCCCTGACTGGGGCTGTGGCAGGGTGGTGATCTCTGAGGCCCACTCACTAACTTCTGGGAAAGCCAGGGGGTCAAGACTCTTGTGATTGGTCCCTTGGGTGCACCTGGGACAGATAGTGGAGGTGGAATGGTGCCTGGTAAGATAGTAGGTTGGCCAGAGGTTGTGGGGGGAGGGCAGCTGCTGGGTGAGTGGACAGAGCACTAGCAGGGAGCAAGGGGACCTGGGTTCCCTGCTTTGCCACTGACAGGCAGATAGCCTGAGCCTCTCTGGCCCTCAGCCTCTCTTCTGCAAAACAAGATTGAACTAGATGATCCTTAAAGTTCACTGGACTTAGTCCAACTCAGGTTGGAGGAATTTCCCTCACTACCTGGACTCCTTTATACAACAGTACCTGCAATCTACCATCAGAACAACATGCTCACAGGCAAAGGCCTTTGAAACCCAGACACAACTGCAGAGTGCAGGTCACATTGAGACCCTGCTCCCTTCCCACAAATGGCTCATGTGACCAGAGGCCATAGGCTTTGTGCTTTTATGACCTGGGCAAGGCCAGGAAGCTGAGAAGGCAAGGTACAAGCCATAAAGAAGGTCTGGGCTGAGGTTCCTCTAGACCCACACTTGCATACTGACTGCTAAGGTGACTCCATACACCTATCTTTTGCTGTTGATATGGATTCCCATGTGGGTTGGCTGTATTAGGTTAAAAAAAAAATCTCATCACACTCCCCCTTGAGATCTCAGAAATCCAGAGTGCCCCAGACCTCAGAGGCCATCTGGTCAACCTCTTTGCTGCCTCTGCCTTCACCCCCACTGTCTGGTCTTTCTCTGTATACCCTTCCTGCTCCATGGAAGTCATGCTGGGTCATAGCCTGGTAGGGCTGATGGGGCCAACATGGGCTGTTTACCTTTTCTCAAGGCCCCTGTCACTGCTGCCTCCAACAATTGCCAGCCTAGCTGTGTCCCTATGAATCCACTGGCAGATGAGCTCAACCCAATGAAGAGCTGAGGTAGGATTTCAAGGCGTAGCGCCCTCTCTCTCTCTCTCTCTCTCTCACACACACACACACACACACACACACACACACACACACACACACACACTCATACATACACATCTCTGGCTGACCAGGTAAGGAGGGGTGCTAGGCTGTGCAGTATTGGGAACTATCTGTGGCTTCTTGAGTCTGAGCCTGGGAGAGAGTCTTGGGGATGAAGTGTCTGCATTGCTGAAGAATACCAGAATTGAGAAGCTGAGAACAGGAGCTGAAGGGTGTGGCGAAGAAAGGACCCTGGCCATAGGATGTGTGAGGGTGGCTGTCCTCCATTGGGCAAATGATCTGCAGGGAGTGGCCAGTGGCCCCTGGGGCTGAAAGAGTCATTCCTCTCCATTTGGTTATAGAACATGAGGGAGTGTAAAGAAGGTAACTAAGCTCAAGATCTGGAGGAGGTGTGGCCCAGGGAGGTTTGTATATTTTACTGACTCATAGGTGATGTGTACTGAGTGGTTCATATGTGGCTCAGAGGATTGTGAGGGCCAAGAAAGGCTGGCAGTGATTCTCTCCAATCACTAGATTGTTGTAGGCCTGGACCTGGTACTCTTTAGGCCTCCTCCTTCTAAGCAGAGGTCCCTCAGGGGACCCCTCCCCTGATGACTCCAATCATTGATATAACACTGCATTCTTCACAGGTGACTGTTCTGTCTTCTTCTGAGCTGGTTCTTGGGGTCTGAGCATACTATTCCATTTAAAGTCATGGGGTGACATGAGTGAGCTGCTGGCCCCCTAGGGCCACAACACAATGGTGCAAGGCTATACAGTGGCACAGGAACAAGCAGTAGTAACATTGTAATTCTGACACTTGGCAGGGCAGATGTGTGGAGCCCCAACACACACTGTGTCTGAGGGTTCTGCAAGGAGACTAAAGATGTCTGGAGTCACTTTCTTCCAAGAAGGGGCTGACCCAGGAGAGTCCAGGTTTCTGGGCACAGCTGCTGCTTGGCAGGGCTGGGTCTGTAGATGGTTCAGGAATGCCTATCCCCAACTGGTAGGACCTTGGAGACCCCACTATTAGTAGAGGACTCTTCTGGGATAAGTTGTCCTCTCTAAACTTTGAAGCAGAGTTACCTCACTTGCCTCCATGGTCAGATGCTTACACTGTGCACATTGGAACTGGGCACTGTCTCGAAGTGTGGGGAAATAGTGACAGATAGGTGTGGGCCAGTGATAAACATGGCTGGCATTCTGTTCTGTCCTTCTGATGTGATTCCTACTCTGCTCATGTCCTTAACTTCACAGTACAGTGTTTGGGCATACTCAAGCCTCACTAGGTCCCAGAGACTTTGGTAGACCTTGGACCACCCTTTGAGAGGAAGCAGTGGATCTGGTCTCCATCATCTTGCCAGCATCCAAGAGGTGTCAATCCCTTTTCTTGCTGACTTGTTTCTAAGGCACATCTGCATATTCTAGCCAAGGAAGGGGGCAAGTGCTGCCACCCACAAATACCTAGCCTCTAGAGGAAGGAGGTCCTGGGTGTGCATCTTTTATTGGTACATGAAAGGCTCTGTGTTAGTTGGTGAGGAATGGCACAGAGTCAGTATCTACCCTAGCCTACCATATCATGGCTGGAGAAGGAATAAGAAGTCCAGAGCCTCCAGCTTAGAAAAATCAGTGAACTCATCCATCTATTTTTATTCAATATGCAAAAAGAATAGAATTCAAACGTCATGCATGCTTTAATAGAGTTTCAGGTGGAGGGTAGACCTATCATACTTAGGCCTCTGTCCCCTTTGTATGGTGAGAGACAGCTCTTATGTGGTCTGAGCATTTTCTCCTACACCTTGCCTGGGAGACATGTTGGGGAGTGCTGGTAAGGGCAAGGGGACACCTCTGATGTCTCTTAAGAAGGATGGTCATGCCGGGTGTGGTGGTGCACGCCTTTAATCCCAGCACTCAGGAGGCAGAGGCAGACGGATCTCTGTGAGTTCCAGGCCATTCTCACTACAGGGAGACCCTGTCTCAAAAAAGACAAAAAAAAAAAAAAAAAAAAAGGACAGCCACATGCTCTGATGGGCCTGGAGGCTAGCTAGCCAGACATTAAGCAGAGGTGATTTGTCTTTGCTAATGTCTCTGTGGCACCTGGGCTTCATGAGACAGTCTCAATGTTGAGAATCTGCCTGGGATTTTGCATGGGTCAAAGAAAAGAAATTCAGAGCAGATCCTACATGTTGGGAGCGAGATACAACTGTGGATCTGGGAGACCACCCCTCAGGGCCACTGCTGGTTTCCCTCCATGCCTGTATGAGGTGAGGGAGGGATGGATACACCTCACTGGCCAAAGGCAGTGTTCTAGTTCCTTGTACTCTGATCATCTCATGGACTCAGGTTTTTCAACCAAGGGTCAAGTGGGCAGGCCTGTGGCTCTCCATTTTCCCCTAGCCTGCGGCTCACCTCATGCACTTCTGTCCAAGGGCCCTGCCCTTCAGGCTTTATCTAGAGGACCCAGTCCCCCTTGCAGATCTGCATGCAAGTGCTTGTCTTGAAGGGGGATTCTGTCTTCCTTTTTTTTTTTTTTTTTTTTTTTTTTCAAAGCCCGAGCTGGCCTGGAACTTGCTATATAGATCAGCCTCGCTTCTAATCTCACAGAGATCTGCCTGTCTCTGCTTCCTGAATGCTGGGATTACAGGTGTGCGCCACCAGGCCTGGAGTTAGACATTCTGTCTTTCTTGGGTAAGCCTTGCAGCCAGTGTTCCGAACATCCACATGTACATCACACACACAATGCACATGCTCCCCGCTTCTCCTTGCATCTCCATTCGTTTCCATGGTCAGCCCTGAGATTTTACTTTCTTCCCTTACAGCCTTTGCCCACACACAGATACTACGATTTTGGTCTCTAGATTAGAGGATGGATGTTAAGAGCAAGAGCTTCAGAGTCAGACCTTAAATGGAAGCCCAGATCTAAATGTCAGTTAAATGTCTCAGGCTTCAAGATCCTCATCTATAAAACAGGTATTCTCACAGTACTGGCTCCTCAGGGTGACATACCTAGAAAGCTCCTTGTCACCAGGTGAGGGGTGGCTTAGAGGAGTTAGCTGCTGTCATCTTACCATTGGAAGAATACTAGGAAAGAGCCTGAACAAGGTAGGGCCTGGGGCTGAAAGGGCTTGGCTGCTGTCCTGGAAGCCATGCTAGGAGGACCAGGCTTCCCTGCTCAGTCTCACATTGATCTCTCTCTCTCTCTCTCTCTCTCTCTCTCTCTCTCTCTCTCTCTCTCTCTCTCTCTCTGCTGTTGGATATCACACCAGGACCCTGTACATGCTAGGCAAGTGCTCTCCTTCTGAGCTCTATCTCCAGCCCTGACTGTCATTTTTATAAGTCACAGACCTGACTATCACATTTCTATGCTTAAAGCAAACCTCATGACATGGCTCCTGCCTCCCTTTTGGGGGCA